CAGCCTACCAAGCCACTTGAGCTCAGCAACTGGCTATCACCCAGAAATCAGGCGACCCAGACATGGGTCCACCCGTCCGGGCACCGCTCCAGTGGCAGCCTGAGAGGATGGAAGCTTCTTCAACCTCCACCTCATGATAATCAACCTTCACCGGCCCAGGCCTCACAGAGGCGGGGCCATGGGAGGGAACACTGCAGCCATCATCCCCATGTTAACCCGAGAGGCACAAAATGGGGGAGGACTCTTCGTATCCCCAGCCTGCCTGCAACTGATGTGTCAAGCTCCATCCTTATAGAGGGAGTGACAACTGGATGCCAGCAGGGCATCAGTAACCCTCACACCCCTGTGAGGGCATGCCGCTGATAGGAGCCGCTGAGGTTGCGTGACATCATCAACCTTGATGTCCGCTCTACTAGACTCTACTGGGACCTCAGGAATGGCTAGTTCACATACCCAGCATGCTGCAATTTAGAGCTGAAGGAACCCATCTTGCCAAACACCGTGTCTGGGGACCAGCAGGGGGCAGCCCATGGACAGTTGGGTGACACCGGAGGAGAGGATGGAAGTTACTTCAACATCCACCTCCTGATAATTGACCAAAACTGGCCCAGGCCTCACAGAGGAAGAGCCATGGTTGGGACACTGTAGGAAGGGCCAGCAGTGAATCAGCAAACAGGGGTGGGAGGGGATCCAGCCCATGGCCTGCCTATCTGGTCTCCACAGCAATGTCAGCCATTTTCGCCATAGTAGCTTGAGAGGCATGAGATGGGGGAGGGGCGCTTCTGCATCACAGTGCTGACAGGTGAAAGTGTATGCTTGGAACTCTGACACCTTTCCCCAATGCAGCCGAGCTATGAGCGGAGCCACGCTGGCTGCGGTAACCCAAGTGACGGGTAAACACAGACAGGCTAACAGACCGGAGAATGCTCACTCGCCGGACCAAAGCACAGCGAGGTCCAAGCGGTGTGAAGCTTGCGAAGCAGGCAAGATGCTGAGAGAACACAGGCCGATCACCACACACACAGATGCCAGCTCAATCGGCAAAGGAGCCGGGCAACGGGAGACCAACTGGGGAGACTGGGGCCGAGAGAAAGCTAAGGGAAATGACTGGGGAGAGGCTAGCATCCAGGGAGGCTGCCGAAACAGGCTCCGGACGGATGTACGTGCACACACACACAGCACTCTCGAAGAAAAGTCACTCACACGCACAAGTTGAGATCAAACAATCACCGGTGTCACGTCTGCACAGCTGTATTATACGTGAACTCTGGGGTGTGGCCGGGCAAGCCGGAGTGTCTTAAAGAAGTATCCATGTGCCACGACCAAGGGGGGTCATACCCCGTACATATGGAATATGTAACGGTGTGGAGAGATAGTCTCGATATACTAGAGAACTTCAATGCCTCTTCACCTACAAACAAAGGAACATGTTTTTGTAATGACATATTTGTAATGTTTCAGCAACTATGAACCCAGATTGTTTTTATTTTCCATTTGGCATCTCATTCCCTTCTTAATTACATTTTTTCCACTTAAGGGAGTTTGTGTCTGGTTTTAAGTTACTCATGTACTTTTTGTTGCATGAAAATAAAGTCATACAGCCATTGTACCTGTCTTGTTAAACCTATTTTGAGTGTAAAAGCTTGAGACTTGACCTAGAAGAAAAAACAATGCACCAACTCCAAGTATCAGCTTTCAAATAGAAATCATGATTACACAAAATAAGTTGTGTAATCACAACAAGAGCAAACACAATGAGAACAAACATTGGAGTAGCTTTTGTCAGGTCACAATTTTGAACTTTGAGTGATGAACTTTATCCAGCCAATAACTTGTAGATTCCGGTTTTTAGATCAAAATAAAATTAAACAACTCAGAGAGATTCTCTGGAAAAACAGAGTTATTTAGACAGAGTTTATTGAACAGAATCATATAGAAAGCAAAAAAGAATGTCACACTACACAGAATAGCAAGACAACACAAATCATCAAATTGTCCAGTTTCTATCAACCATTTGCCACATTCTTGTCAAAATAGGCCATAGACTGTCGGAGTATCTCTGCCCCTCTGTTTATTTATAGGTGTCTTCTCTTCTGTGGTTGTTAGAGTGTCCTGTTAGAGTACCTGGTTCCCTAGTTTCATTCTGTTCCTGTTTTCTTCACACTGTTTCCAAGCCCAATAGTGAGATTAATTATTTTTCTCTTGAACTTTGTTTCTTTTTCTCCCCATGGTCTGCATCACCTCAATCAAGTTTTTTGTTAAACTCTGTTCACCTCATGCTAACAAATGAGATTGTTGGAAAAATTACCTACAAACAGTGACATTTCTACTGAACAAGTGTAAAGATATACTTATTTAGCAATTTTTCTTTGAATTTGGTGGAAATGCGGTTCTAATTCATTCTACAAGACAACAACACCATGCTGGTGTATATGGGACACTAATGATCAATGGATGGATCCTAGTAATATCTATGAAAGATAAGAATTAATTTCAGGACAACCAGTTGATATGATATCAGTTTTCATGTAAAATGACTACGAGTTATTATGAGTTATTTTCTTGTATATTCAAAACCTCCATTTACAGTATTACATCTCGTTCTTTTATTCTTTTACTGGACAGAGAGGACACAACTCAGTTGGTCAAAGTATTTATAATTATTTATTCAATCACAATCAATACAAATTATCAATCATTTAATCAATAAAAATACATTTTCACTCTTTTCTCTAAAATCTTGCAGGGAGCACCTGGTTGTTGCAAGTTTGTGATTGCAAAAATAAGGTTGCATAGGTCTTCAGATAGCTCACTGTTTTAAATTATGGGATGTTTCTTTTAATGAGACATCTTTTATAGTTTGAACTGAAACAGCTGATATCAATTTGCTCTGAGTGGCAGGACTGCTTTCTAATTACTGATATATATGGTAAAATCAGCATTCTATCACCTCAGACATTTATCGAAGGTTAAGCCCTTTCTTTACAAGTGTGACTTTTAAAGTGTTATTCGTGCCTTTATGTCACTTCCACAGTGGCAGACGGTTGGAAGTAGGACCCAAGATGCAAGCACTGGCTGATGAGAGTGAGCTTTATTGTGACAGTGAAGGTACAACAGCAAAGGAGGTGGCAGGAGTAGAACCAAAGATTAACTGAACTGGGCACTTTGCCACGTTTGCAACTAGTGCAAAATGCTGCGGCACGATTTTTAACTAGGGATGGGTATTGTTTAGGTTTTATCCGATATCAGTACCAAACCGATACTTTTTTAAATGGTGCCGGTGCTTAAACGGTGCTCGAATCGGTGCTTAAAGAATGAAGAACACAAACTTTGTCCGAAAAC